TTTTTTTAGTTTAAACAACAATTATGAAAAAACTAGGATACTCAACAATCTAAAAAAAAACTTTAGACCATAATGATCACATTAGAAAATTTTTTTTACAAAGTGTTGAGATTTACCTTGTGCTCAAAGCCAAATAATAAAGAAACAATTTGGAGCATTTTTCGGGATATTTTGCAGTTTGAGGACAAGGTAAATGTCAATATTTTCGGATTTTTTTTTTGTAATCGTATTTTTTTTAGTATTTGCTCCAAATTAAAACTACATAAAAGATGGACCATTAATAACTGTAAACATAGACAGATATGTCGAAGTTTTAAATTTTTGGTTTCAAGAGAAGATTGTCTGGAAAAAAAAATTGTTGAATGTATGGTAATAGTGTGTATAATTGACTATAAAGCATGGTGGATGTAGTTGTGTTAAGGTGTGGGTCTGTTTTGGTCGGAATGCTACAGGCGACATTGTAAAAACAAAGGGAATAATAACAAAATTAGTTCACTTGGACACTTAAAAAGTTATGCTATACCTTTGGAAAGTTGGGTTAATGGAAAACCATTAATTTTTTTAGAAGAATATGGCTTAAAACTTAAATCCAAAACCTTTTCTTCAGAACATTGTAAGTTATTTGACTGAGTTAAGAAAGAGAATTATCAAATATTGAATAGAGTAATTTAACCTCCCCATTCAAAAGATCTCCTAACAGATTTTTATAGGATTAATTAAAAGTAATGTCAAAAATGCCAAATGATGCATAAGATGTGGAAAAAAAAGTTATTAGTTAGTTTCATAAAAGTGACTTTCACAAATTGGATGATTCATTATTTAGAATGCCAAGAATATATATGGCGGTTATCGTCCCTAATGGTTATAATAGTCAAGTAAATTATAAACTAATCTAAAATGTTTGTCAATTGAGTTGCCCGGCCGGGCGTCTTAATTGTCACAATTGCATAAGTTTTTTTTAATGATCTTATAAATCTTAGAAAATTTTAAACCAATTTGGAATTCCGTGTAATACACGGTGCCATCATGCTGGCTAATATCCAGGTTTAAACTTAAAACAAAGAATTTTAATGAACAATTAAAATAAATAAAAAAAAAGTGTGCTACTTTTAAAAAGATTTAAACTTACGAATATTGATGTTAAGAAAATAATCTTTTATAAAACGAAGATAAAATTTTATAAATCTTGAAAAAGTTGGTAACCATAGTAACCATTATAAATACCATTAAAACCTTAAAACTCTATATAGTTTTGCTCTTTCTACTCTTAATATTGATTTTTGGAATAAATTGGTTGCATCCTGCATTATATAATAATCAAAATTTGAGGTAACTCTTGTCAGTGTTTAGTCTTGTTAATTTGTGATTCCAATGAAAACCACAAAAATAAATTTCTAAATTTGAATATTTTCCCCTATTATACAGCATTTTCTTTTATCTAAATGCAAGACAAATGTTTTGAAAGATGTGATTCATGTGTTTTTGCAAAAGCCTTCGGTACCCACATAATACCTATTTTAGACAGCTGCTCTTTGACCTGGTCACCGTGGTGCACTGAGTTATTAAACGCAGTCAGAAAAGTACAAAGATATTTTACTAAGAAAATAGCCAACTTAAAAGTCTTCTTGTATTTTTAATAGTTTGTTTTTATTTAATGCTTTTATTAATAGTTAGTTATTTAATATTTAAATAACACTAAACTTGGAATTAATCCAAATTTGTCATCTAAAGCAAGAGTTGATTTCATGTTACATAAGTCTAAACAATATGCTTCATCTTTATGCATCAAGTTAAACAATTATAATTATACTTAAGGTCATAAATCTAAGTTACTCAAATTTAAGTGTCAACTTGATGTTCATTGTTAATGTGAGTTGGTAATGTTTGGAATAACTTGACATCTGATGTTGTAAATGTTATCAAGAATAAAGAGACAAATATTATTAATAGCTTAAAGAACTGTGTTTATATATATATATATATATATATATATATATATATATATATATATATATATATATATATATATATATATATATATATATATATATATATATATATATATATATATATATGCACTTAAATATAGATATATATCACACAATTATGTTGGCAGTCTGGCGTTTTAATTTTCACATTTATATATCTCAACTTGTAATTGTGTATGCAAAATAGAAACTTTATGCTTAATTGTGTATGCATAATAAAAACTGAATGCTTAATTGTGTATGCATAATAGAAACTGAATGCTTAATTGTGTATGCATTAGACTTGTGGAGCCGAGCTGGAGCCGCTGTTTTTTGGTGGAGCCGGAGCCGCAAAAATCAAGCGGCTCTTGGCATTCTTTTTTTTTTTTTAAAGAAATAGAATATATATATTTTATTTTTTTACGCTAGACAAACTTTATTCATTTTTTGTTTAACATTGAATTTCTATTTTTTAAAATATTTTTTCTAACAGTTTCGGTCGTGCCAAAACGTAATAAAAATGACTGTTTTAATGATTTTGTACTTAACAAAATTCTTTAATAGTATTTCTTAATATGCTTTATATAAATAAAAAAAGTAAATTATATATGGAAAAATTACAGCTTTATATTATATTTTTATATTATTTTATATGTTTTAAATTATATTTTTATACTGATACTATACTGTTAAATATTTGATGCACGATATAATAATAAAAGGTTATTCATATCTTTAAAACTATATTAAAGTATGCGATTGTTAAACTTGAAACAATGATTTTTCTTTTAAATCTTGTCACTAACACATTTTTAATATATTTTTTTTTTGTGTAATTACTTTAAGTAATTATAGTATTAGTTAAAAACATCAACAAACGAGTCAAAATGTTTCTAATAATTAAATTGTGTTTGAAACAGTTAAAAAAAAAACGAAAAAAAAGTCTGCGTAACAATCTACCCAGTTCTTCTGCATCTTTACTTTTAATTGCTAAAGCATCTGAATCTAGCAAAACTATTGTTTGTATGGGCATATAACAATACACGAGCTCTCTATCTATCGAACGAGCAAAAAGATCTGGAAGAAAGAGTGGCTTTAAGGATAAGAAAGCAGCAATTATTATTCAGCGATCATCAATCAAAACCCCCGCTTATTGAACAAAAAAACAAGCTAATAGGTATAAAGTTTCAGAGTTTTTTAAAGATTAAATTTTGGCAAGCAATATGCAGCTGTGGTTTGAGATCTTGAGCTTATGTCACATCATCAACTTTAAAGTCAGATTTTTTCATCAAAGAATACTTGCAAGATAGACTTTTGCAATTTTATCAAAATCACGATGTCCCCTGTTTGTTCTGGCCTAATCTTGCTTCTTGTCATTATTTTAAGAAAATTGGTACAATTCGAGAGACTTCAAATTCATACCAAAAAGCTTGAATCCATTAATCTGCACACAGTTCCGTCCCATTGAGAAATTTTGTAGAATCGGCTATTTGTAAATTGAAAAGTTATGGTGATGCAAGTAGTGGTGTATTCTCTGAATCAGATTATGCACTAAATTTTGAAAACAAAAATCCGAATAAATTATCATCAACTGAAAAGATACAAGACTCGACTAATTTATTGGTAGTTGGTGTAAATATTCTTAAGAAAACCTTTTTTCTTTTCAATCCTCAACTTGTTATCTTTTTTTTTTCCTAGCTAATCTTTAAGAAGTTATTTGTGTAAGAGCAATAAAACAATAAGCTAAAGATTTGATTAAAGAGTTAACAGGGAAAAAAATTGTAAAAAACACTGTGCAGAAGTTGATGTCATCAATTAGCGTAAATGTCGCTATTCAAAATAATGAAAAATGTTAAAATAAAAAGCACTTTTATAATCTTCAAGTTCCTTAGATTAAAATATTGAAGTTTTTGCATTAGTTGAACTATTTCTTTTTTTTTTTTTTTTAATTTTTTATCGTTTTGAATTTAACGATTGCATATTTTACCCAGTGGGCACGAGACACACAAAAGAAGTCTTTTGAACGTCTTTAGAAAGTTTTGGATGCCTTTTGAACGTTTTGGATGTCTTTGGGACTTTCAAAAGATGTCTTTTTCAGGTACGTGCCTCTTGGGTAGAATTAGAATTAAAATTCGGACTAAAAATTCTAGTTTTGGGAAATAATATATAGAAAAAAGTGTTTGTTTACCCAAAACATTTTTCTTTTCAAAGGTAATATCCTGAAGTTGAGTAGAGTAGTGATATTAATACAATAACCATGTAATCATGAGAGTTGGTTAAAAATTAATTGCTGTAGTTTGTATAGTTATGGGTCGGCAAATGTGATCAAAAAATTTCTAAAACTTGCGATTTTTGTTCATAAAGTTCAGGAGCTAGAGCTGAGCTGGAGCCGGATTTTTCTTAGGAGCCGAGCTGTAAAAAAAACATTCGGCTCCACAAGCCTGGTATGCATAATAGAAACTGAATGCTTAATTGTGTATGCATAATAGAAACTGAATGCTTAATTATGTATGCATAATAGAAACTGAATGAAAGTGTTTTGAGTTAATGATAAAATAATAAAACTTAAATTTAAAATATACAAAGAAAAAAGTTATGGTTTTTGTATGGTTAAGCGCATATATATTATACTAACAATAAAATATTATGTTATACTAACAGTAGTATATTATATTATAGTGTATATTATATTTTTTAATATTGATATATTATATTAATATTATATTAAGTAAAATCAATTAATAGTCAACAACATAAAAAGGTTGTTTTACGTGTTGGATTAATTTGCAGCTGTTGAACTGTTGATTAAAATTATTTTTGATTTAAAAAGATTTTACATTAAAAAAAAAAAAAAAGATTAAATTTTCAGATAATATTTAAGGGTCTACTTTTTTTTTAATCTTTTATCAACTTGTAATGAATAGATATCAGTTCTGATATCTATTCATTACAAGTTGATAATGTCCTTTTAAAGCAATTAGTTTTTATTTATTATTTTATACATTATTTTTCTACATTTTATTTCTTTTTTAGAAGTAAAGAAAAGTTAAAAGATATTGATGAGCGTATTAAGAAAAATGCATTTGCAACTTCTAAAGAATTCCTATTCAACAAAAGACCTACATGGGAAGGAGAATCTGATGATTCTGATGAGGAGGAAGCAGATGTTTTTAAAAAAACTGGTTTGAACAAACTAAGTTTGTCAAATAACAAGTTGACAGAAATTCCTAAAGGACTTGCATGTCTTGCACCTAATTTAACAAAGTTAATCTTGAGCCATAATAAAATATCTGCAGTTAACTGTGTTTATTTATTTCCTGAACATTTGATCTATTTAGAGCTTAAAGATAACAGTATGAAAACATTTAATTTAGCAGAAACGAAAAATCTTGGATGCTATGCTTTTGTAAAAAGACAGGTAAGTAAACGTGTATCTCTTCCAAGTGAAAGCTTTTTTTGTCAGCATCAAAGGCATAGACAACTAGATGCATTATGCCATCTTGATCTCTCAAAAAACTCTCTTGAAAGTATCAATTTGTTTGTTTTGACTACTTTGTCTGCGGATCCACATGCTCACTCACAGGCTGATATTTTTTGTAAGAACCTCAAAACTTTAGATGTCTCATATAATAAACTTACCAGTTTGCCTAATGGAATTGGAAAATTAAAAAAAATGGAGTCACTAGCTGCAAATCAGAATCAGATTAGCTCTCTCCCATCTGAGTTAGGACTTTGTTCTGATATCTATTCATTACAAGTTGATAATGTCCTTTTAAAGCAATTTTCTAAAAACATTACAGATGATTATGATAAGAAAAAGATAAAACCATTAATACGTCATTTGAAGTCATTACATGATAAGTATGTTTTTTAATTATAATGCAAAAGAAAAAAAATTTTTTTTTTTTCTTTAGTTGGATTATTTGATTACTTAAAATTAAATTTGATAATAACATAATTCAATTAAAATTAGGTATAAAATAATGCATAAACAGTTTTTAAGAAGTTTTGTTTTGAAAAAATAGTATTATTTGAAGTATCAGTTTTTATTTATTCTTTTTAGGGCACTTCCATTTCCATGAATAAATTTTATTTGTTCTTTTTTAGGTCACTTCCATTTCCAAATATTAAGTTGATGCTTGTAGGTATTCACGGAATAGGGAAAACAACTCTGCTTATGTCCTTAAGAAAGAAAGGAACTGGAAACTATCAACATGCAGATCATAAATCTCATTTTTCTGAGCGAATAACGGAGAAAGATTCACACAATAAAGGCTTTGTTTTATTTTTTATTAAAAACTTTTATTTTTATTTCAGTTTTACAACAATTATTAAGTAATTTTTAAAGTTTAAATTATGCTTGATCTTTAACTACATAAAGCTTGCTCTTTATTTTATTTCTAAACTGCTTTTACTTTATTGTAACTAAATACTTGCACTTTGTCCTAACTGCACATATTTATCAAACTTTTCTAGTTTACACGGTTTAAATGGTTTGCATGTCTTTTAATAGGTGGAAATAAAGCAAAGTCTAATTTGAGCACTGTTGGTGTAGATGTTTGTGATTGGGAATATGGGAAAAAGCCTATTAAATTTAGTACTTGGGATTTTGGTGGCCAGGTACTCTCATTTTGATCATTATAATCAAGTTGATCAATTAATTTAATGGTCACACCAATAATCATTGATATGTTATGATGATGTGAATGATGATCATTATTAATTTTTTTGAATTTTTTTAAAAATATAGAGTGAATACTATGCAACTCATCAATGCTTTTTGTCTCAACGTGCCATTTATTTGCTAGTATGTCGTCTTACAGATGAGTCATTTGGAATTCCACATCTAGAGTCTTGGCTTTTGAATATTCAGGTTGAAAATGATGCAATGTTTTACATTCAATTTATTAATATCTGTTTGCTTTTTGTTGTCAGTATGTATGTACATATGTCTAAATGTATATATATATATATATATATATATATATATATATATATATATATATATATATATATATATATATATATATATATATATATATATATATATATATATATATATATATATATATATATATACATATATATATATATATATATATATATATATATATATATATATATATATATATATATATATATATATATATATATATATATGAGTATCTTTAAAGATTTCTTAGATGTAAGCAGTGAAGTTAAAGTTACTTTGTATTTTTTTAATCGATTCTATGTGGTGATAACAGGATTCAGTTTAATTAGCGTAAATTTATATCCAGTAATTAGTCATCATCTAATTAAAATGCTATAGATTAGCCATCATCTAATTAAAATGCTATAAAATATTATGCATTAAAATAATATCATTACGCATGAATAAATCTGTGGTATAAAATTTGGTGCTAAAATAATGAAATTTAACTTTTCATAAAGAAAAATATGTTAGCTAAGAATCCGTTCCATTTTTGTTTGAAAAACAATGCATAGAAACATTTAGTTTTGACTTTGTTTAAAGATGCCATTTTTGTGTAATATGAGCATGCTCAAATTACCCAGCGTTCTTCATTGAAATTACCTAGTTTAAAATCCTAAAATCGCAGTGGTTTTAATTGATTTTTGAATAAAAACAAAACAGTAAAAAATTTTAATATTTGTAAAATCTGTTATTTAAATTTAAATAACAGATATTATGGTGGATACAAGTAATGTTTACTGACAAAAATAGACGTTTTAATTATGTTAGAAGGCCTGTAGGAGAGCGCCTGAATACAAAGTATAATATAAAAGTAGTCAAACATTCACCTTCAGTTATGGTAGGGGGGCAAAGTTGATATCGCCTGCATGTCTTTAAAAAAGGCAAAGTGTCAATGCACAAAAATAGCTGTGTGTAGAAAGATTAAAAGTGAAACAGCATATCGAAATTACTGAATAAAGCATATTTCAGCAAAATTTAGCACCATGTCACACTGCTAAAAAAATAAGGAAGCGGCTTACTTATTATAATGTTAAATTACAATTTAATTGACCTTCAAGTTCACCTAATCGTAATGCTATCTAGAGCTGCTGTAATATTATTAACCAGTAAGTTGCAGCACATCAGCCAAAATCTGAATAGCATTTCCAAAATGTTTATATTAACATTAATTCATAGTATGCCAAGAAAAATAAAAGTAATACTTGATTATAAGGGACATTCGACCAAGTATTGGAGTATAATATTTGAGTCATCTAAACTGTATTTATGCTAAATTTTGGTGCTATAACTATTATTTTATTGAATATTAACAATTACTGATAATTTCCGAATTTTTGTTTTTCATTTATTTTACATTTTGTATTACATTTATTCAATAAACAATTTCTCTGGTGTCTCTTAATTTTTCAGCCACTACTGTTTATACATACATTGGTGTTAGTTAGTTGCCAGGAAGGGCGACTGAAAGTAATTATTTAGCTAATGTTGGTTCCCCACCAAAACGCTGTTTATTACTTTACAATGGAAACTTATTAAAACAGTTAATTTTAACATTTAAAATACAGTTGTTAAAATTGTAAAAGAAAGTTTTACGATTTCATTAAAGCATTCTTTAGTGTGTCTTATAATAAAATAAAAAGTTAATTTTATTTTGAAAAATTATAATAGTTAAAAGTTTTTTTTTTTTATATTATATTTTGACTTGGAGTTGTGTATAAATAATTATTATATTTCAAACATAGTTTTTAAAATATGATTTTCCTTCACGCAATTTAAACTGCAAAGGGTATTCATATTATATTTGATTTATTTTGATCCAATCTTTTTGTTTATTATATCAAATGTCACATGGTGAATCTTGCTATGTACAGTGGCATGCAGATGTGGTTGCCAGATGGCAAATGCCAGCCATATCTTATGAAGGGCTACTGGAAATATTATTTCTGCGCAATTGAGTTTCTTGAATGGGTGACTAAATTTTTTGCATTTATGTTTGCTTTTTTTTCTTCTATTAATTCAGTAATTATATAAGTAGCAAATTATTTGCAGCCAAAGTTAAATTATACTTTCATTATACTTAAATACGTTAAATTACTATACTTTCATTGTACTAGTATATTAAAATTATTTTACAATTTTTTTTTTGCGTATTTAGAGAAAAATGATGGAAATTATTTTGTAAAAAAAATACTATGGTGTATATGAGCTACAGCTTACATTTTTAGTAGAGATTGGGGAGGGGGGAAGGCAAAGTACAGAAACAGCCTAAACTACCAAAACTTAAGGACTATGTTCTTCACAAAGAAATTGCAGGATCAGCATTTTATGTCAATGGCGATCTTGATGTGTGTAGAGCGATAAAAAATTTTTTCAAGGTATTTAATTTAATTACTATATAAACAAATAATGTAAATAAAATTTAAAATAAATAATGTAAATAAAATTTAAAATAAATAATGCAAATAAAATTTAAAATAAATAATGTAAATAAAATTTAAAATAAATAATGTAAATAAAATTTAAAATAAATAATGCAAATAAAATTTAAAATAAATAATGTAAATAAAATTTAAAATAAATATTGTAAATAAAATTTAAAATAAATATTCTAAATAAAATTTAAAATAAATAATGTAAATAAAGTTTAAAATAAATAATGTAAATAAAATTTAAAATAGTATATGTTTTCTAAGTAATATTTGAAAAAATATTATTAATGATTAGAATTAGTAAAATATTAAATATTATTAATTAATTAGAAATAGAAGTAAAATGTTTAAGTCGTTACTTGAAATTTATTTTAAAAGAACAAACTAATTGTGATTTGTCGCTCTCTCACTTTGAACTATTTATTTTAAAGCCCTTAAAAGTTAACAATTTTTTCATCTAAAATTTACTTAAAATGAACAAATTAATTTGAATTCTGTATATATTTTTTTTTGTTCTCTCACTTTGAGTTTTTTTAGCATTATTTTTTCATTGTCACACGTTATAGACTTTTTAAAAATTAGATTTTACTTGGAGATTTTATTATTTACTAAATTCAAATATTTAATATACATTTTTTATAATATATACAATATATACAATATATACAGTTATAACTTTTAAACTATTTATATTTTTATAAGATTATAAAATATTGTTTAATGATACACAGTAAACAAGAAGTTTAATCATTCATTAAAATTTAATTAAAAGAACAAATCAATTTAAGTTTGGTGTGCTTTTTTTTCATATATAATATAATATTCTTAAATAATAGATTAAACAGTTATATTGATAAAATATTCACTATGTATTAAAAATAATATCAATTATCTTTTTATTCACAGGTAACTCAAGAAAGAAATAGGAGGGAAGTTCATTCCTCACTCTACTATGCAGTTGTCAATTTAGAAAGGTTGGAAAAACATCCAGATTTTTTCATCTGAGATTTTCTGTACAAAGCGCTTATTATATGGAATTGTAAATTTAAATGAAGTAATAAAATACGAAGCTCAAGCTTCAAATTTTATTGTTATTGCAACAAACGCATTGATGAAGTAGTGCATTTTAAAATGGTGCTCAAATGTATTGGATGTGTATGCAGAGTAGAAGATTTGCTAAACACATCTAAATGTTTTTCGTTCCAATGCTTACATAATCCTTTTTTTATGGTTTATGCTTGTTCTTTCCAGAAGAAATTGAACAACAGTCTTTTTCTTAAAACACAGATAAAATATTCACTATGTATTAAAAATAATATCTATTATCTTTACAGATTTTTCTCCTTTCATCTTTCTTTTTACGTTGTTTGTGTTATCACACTTTTTTACGTTGTTTGTGTTATCACACTTTTTTACGTTGTTTGTGTTATCACACTTTTTTACGTTGTTTGTGTTATCACACTTTTTACGTTGTTTGTGTTATCACACTTTTTACGTTGTTTGTGTTATCACACTTTTTACGTTGTTTGTGTTATCACACTTTTTTACGTTGTTTGTGTTATCACACTTTTTTACGTTGTTTGTGTTATCACACTTTTTCTGACAAATTGTTGAGTTATAAGTTTTTTTTATTTTTTTTTTTTTTTTTACCATTACATAGATGATAGATGATAGTGAAATTTTTTACTTTTGAGATGTTGTAAGAAATTTAAGGTTTTAATGAAGATTTTTTCTAAATCTTTGTTGATCTCCTATCTTAAAGAACTTTGTTGACCTCCTATCTTGAAGATCTTTGTTGACCCCCTATCTTGAAGATCTTTGTTGACCTCCTATCTTGAAGATCTTTTTTGATCTCCGATCTTGAAGATCTTTGTTGATCTTCAGGGAGCTTCTTCAGCAATAATATCATTGGCAGGCACAGCTGGTATCTTGATCCTGCCTTAGTTGTGCTTGCTTTAGCAGATGAACATCGCCTGAACAGAGAAGATATTGCCAAAGCATTGTACAGTACACTTTCCACAAAACCTAAAGTATATAACTTTATTGACCATAACACTTGAATGTGTTATGGTCAATAAAGAGCTTCAGCCTCTAGATTTTGCACAAGATCAGTCTCCATCTCTTAGTGCTTTTGTAACTGAGCAGTCTTGGCTTTTCTTTGATGAGATTAGTTGTGGAAAGAGTGAGTTGCAGTGGCTTAAGATTCCTTCACAGTTCTGGAAGTTTAACTATGTTTATCTTGAGTTTGAAATTATTATTAAATCTCTTGATGTGGTCAATAAATCATCAGTGAGGGCCATTAAAATAGTTTAACTAGAATTGATTAGAAAAACAACCTAAGAGCAGAAAAGACAGGATTTGTTCTTGAATAACCATTTTTACAAAAGAAGAGGAAAAGTAAACAAAATTTAGCATCAAACACAACTATTAAATATTTTAAACTATTAAGTATTTTTAAACAATAATTTG